AATAGCTAAGGAAAATTCTTTAAAATTAAGATAATGATAAAACAGGTCTCTTGGAACATTAGTAATGAAGAAAGAACAAGGCAAAGAGTAAAAATGTAGGTAAATAAACTATTCTCTTATGTTTTCTAAATTGTGTTTGACAATTGAAGCAAAAATTATAACATTGATATGGTTCTTAATGTATTTAGAAGAAATATTTAAGATAATTATATTATTGGTGGAGTGAGTGGTAAAGGGACCTAAAGGAAGTAATATTTCTACATTTCATTCAAACTGGTAAAATGCTGACACCAGTAGTTTGTGATGAGTACATATATTATGTAATACCTGTAGCAACCATTAAAACAGCTATATAAAGATATATACTGGGGGGCCAGCCTGGTGGCATAGCAGTTAAGTTCACGAGCTCTGCTTCGGCAGCTGGGGGTTCGTGGGTTCGCAACCCTGGCGCGCACCAACACACTGATTGTCAAGCCATGCTGTGGCGTCATCACATATGAAGTGGAGGAGGATGGGCACAGATGTTAGCCCAGGGCCAGCCTTCCTCAGCAAAAAAAGAGGAGGATTTGCAACAGATGTTAGCTCAGGGCTAATCTTCCTCACACACACACACAAAAATATATATACATACTGAAAAACACTGAATAAATCAAAGTGGAATTCTAAATAATGTTCAAGTAGTTCACAGGAAGACAGGAGGAGTGAAACAGGAATGAAAAATGAGAGATCAAATGAAAAATAATAAAATGGTAGACATGCTTTAACTTATCAATAAGTACATTAAATGTAAACAGTCTAAATATATCAATTAAAAATAGAGATTGGCAGAATGGATTAAAAACAAACAAATAAATAGGAGCTAACAATATGCTGTAACCAAGAAACTCACTTCAAAAATAATGATATAGGTAGGTTGAAAGTAAAAGGATAGAGTAAGACATGTCATGAAAATGTCAATCAAAAGAGAGCAGACTCACTTTATTAATACCAGATAAAGTAGATTTCAGAGCAAAGAAAATTACCAGGGACAGAGAATGACATTACATAATGATAAAATGATCAATCCATCACAAAAAATTGTAATAAAAAATTTGTATGCCCCAAACAACAGACCTTTAAAATATAGGAAGGAAAGCTGATATAACTGAAAGAAGAGTCGTCGATTGCATTTAGAGATTCCAACACTCTTCTTTCAACAATCAGAAGATCAGCAAGGATATAGAGCTTAATACCATTAGTCAACTAGGATCTAATTGACATTTATAGAACACTCAACAACTAGAGAGCACACATTCTTATCAAGTGCCTATGGAACATTATTAACGAAGATTACCATATCTTGAGCCTTAAAATAAAAACATCAAATTCAGGAGAATTGAAATTATATAGAGTATGTTCTCAGAACACAATGAAATCAAACCAGAAATCTACTGCACAAAGATAACAAGTAACTCTTTAAACACTTGGAAATTAAAGACATTTGAAAGTAATCTGTGGATCGAAGAGAAAGTCTCAAGGAAAATTTTAAAAATACATATTGAACACACAATATATCAAAACCTATACAATGCAGCTGAGGCAGTGCTGAGAGGGAAATGTATAGTACTAAACGGTTGCATGAGAAAAGAAGAAAGCTCTTAAATGGGTAATATAAATTCTACCCAAAGAAACAAGAAAACAAAAAGCAAAATAATCATGCAGAAGGAAGGAAATAATGAAGAGGAGAAATCAATGAAGTTGCAAACAGAAAAATGATAGAAAAAAAATCAATGGAATAAAAAGTTGATTATTTGAAAAGATCAATAAAATATACAATGGTACAAATTACCAATATCAGGAATGAATCAGGGATATTATTATAGATCCTGCAGACACATACCATGAACAACTCTACACACATTTGACATAAGCAAAGAAAAAACAAAAGTGAACTTTGCTTTAAACTTTACACCTTACACAAAAATTAACACAAAATGAATCACATATTTAAATGCAAAATATAAAACTACAAAACTTTTAGAAGAAAAAGTCGAGAAAATCCACAAGACCTACAGCTAGATAAGGCTTCCTAATATGGTGGATTACTGTGATTAGACATCACACCAAAACCACAAGCTAGAAAGGAAGAAGTCAATAAATTGAACCTCATCAAAATTAAAAACTTCTGCTCTTTAAAATATCCTGTTAAGAGATGAAAAGACAAGCTACAGAGTGGAAGAAAGTATATACAAACCACTTATCTCAGAAATAACTGTCTAGAATATATAAAGAACTCTCAAAACTCAACAGTAAAAAAAACGATTCAGCTAGAAAATGAACAAAAGTCTGAACCGACATTTCACCACAGGGATATACAGATGGAAAAAAAGCACATGAAAATGTGTTCAACATTGTTAACCGTTAGGGAAACGCAAATTATAACCACAATATGATGTCACTACACAGCAGTTAGAAAAGTTAAAATAAAAAATAGTGACAATACCAAATACTGGAGAGGATGTGGAAAAACTGTATCTGTCATATTTTGCTGGTGGGAATATATAACAAGTGCAGGCACTCTGGAAAACAGTTTGGCACTTTCATTCTGAAAAGCTAAATGTACACTTACCATATGATCCAGCAATCACCCTCCTGGGTACTTTTCCCTTTTCCTTTTTTCCTAGAAAAAGGAAGACTTATTGCTACACAAAAACCTGTTTACACATGTTCATTGCAGCTTTTATTTGTAATAGCCCAAACTTGTAAACATCCAAATTTCCATCAATAGGTAAACTAACTGTGGTACATCCATACTGTAGAATACTACTTAGCAATAAAGAGGAATAAACTATTGACACACGAAACAGTGTGGATAGATTTCAAGGGAATTATGCTGAGTGAAAAAAACCCAATTTTAAAATGGTTACATACTGTGGGGATTCTATTTATATAGCATTCTTGAAATGACAAAATTACAGAGATGGAGAACACATTTGTGATGCCAGGGGTTAGGCATAGGGTGGGGGAATGAGTGAGTAAGACTTAAAGGATTAGCATGAGGGATCACTGTGGTGATGGAATAGTTATGTATCTTGATTGTGCAGGTAGTTACTTCAATTTACACATGTGATAAAATTGCATAAAACTACACACACATACACAAATGAATGCATGTAAATCTATTGTAATCTTAAGGTCTGTAAATAGTACCAATGTCAATTTCTTGATTTTGATATTGTTCTATAGTTACATAAAACATTACCAATTGGGAAATAAGGTGAAGTTTACACAAGACCTCTGTGTACTATTTTTGTAACTACTTGTGAATCTAGAATTAATTTAAAATAAAAATATTTTTAAAACTCATCTTGCTGGGCCGGCTCCGTGGCTTAGCGGTTAAGTGTGCGCGCTCTGATGCTGGCGGCCCGGGTTCGGATCCCGGGAGCGCCCCGAGGCACCACTTCTCCGTCCAACGTGAGGCCGAGTCCCACGTACAGCAACTAGAAGGATGTGAACCTATGACATACAACTATCTACTGGGGCTTTGGGGGGAAAAAACTGAATAAATAAAATCTTTAAAACTCATCTTGCTAATAATAGCTACCTTAAGACAGTGTCACTTTTGTCAAAACTGTTTCTGTTCCATTGGGCTCTTGTCTACCTTTGTGCCAAGACCACAATGTCTTAAGATAGCTTTATGATGTCTTGATATTTGGTAGAGTAAGTCTTCTAACTTTGCTTTACTTTTTAAAGATTGTCTTAGTTATTATTGGTTCTTTGAATTTCCATACAAATTTTATAAGCAATTTCCAGCAAAAAAAAAAAAAGCTACTTGGATTTTCATTAGAAATGAATTAAATATCAAGATCAATATTGAAGATTCAAGTCCATGAACATTTTATCTTTCTCCATTTAAGTCTTTTAAAATTTCTCTTAGTGATGTTTTGTAGTTTTCAGTGTAGAGATCTTTTTTTTTTTTTTGTGAGGAAGATCAGCCCTGAGCTAACATCCATGCCAATCCTCCTCTTTTTGCTGAGGGAGACTGGCTCTGGGTTAACATCCGTGCCCATCTTCCTCCACTTTATATGGGACGCTGCCACAGCATGGCCTGACAAGCAGTGCGTCGGTGCGTGCCCAGGATGCGAACCTGGGCTGCCAGCAGCGGAGCGTGCACACTTAACCGCTAGGCCACAGGGCCGGCCCCTGTACAGATCTTTTAAAAATCATTTATTAGAATTATTTATACATATTTGATATTTTTGAAGCTATTTGTTTCTGGAGTGTATATGGAAATACAATTTTGTATATTTTCCTGGTACCTGGCAACTTTGATAATTTCACTTATTTCTTATAGGTTTGTGTATTCACTTGAATTTTCTATGTACCAGTCATGTGTGAAAAATGAGAGATTCATTATACCTGGTGTATCTTTTGTCTTATATATTTACAGCTCACATATTTTATTATACTACCTAACCTCCAGTATGATTTTAAATAGAAATAATGAGACATCTTGTTTCATTCCCAGTCTTAGGGGAAAGCTTTCATTATTTCACCGTTGTATATTGATGCTTGTTGTATGTTTTTTTTTTGTAGATACACTTGATCAAATTAAGGGAATTTTATTCTTACAGTGCTGAGAGGCTTTTTCTCTTTTAAATTATAAATGGGCACTCATCCTTTACTTATGATATATTTGTATGACCTTCTGAATTACTAGTCGATGAACTCTGACTTATTTGAATCACATTCAAATGTATTTGTTGAGTGCCTCTACTGCACGAGGCCTTCTCCTAGGTCCTGGAAATACAAAGATGAACTGTGATTGAGTGAGTACTAAGTAAGTGTTTCTGAAGCAGAACTAAAAAGAAATGACTAACTATGAACATAATAAATACCAAAGAAAAACTATATTTTATTAAAATAATAAATTTAAACAAAACTTAATTATTACAATTATTAGAATAACTTTAATCCAAACAAATATGCAGAATTCAATTTAAATTATTTTTGTCTTTCAGACTTGGGATGAAGGTTTAGCGAGGACTGCTAAGGCGTGGACAAAAAAATGCAAATTCCAACACAACACCTGTCTATCAAAATCACATGCGTGCCATCCAACTTTTCATCATGTGGGAGAAAACCTGTGGTTAGGTGCATTCAGCATATTTACACCAAGATCTGCTATTGTTTCTTGGTACAAGGAAGATCAATTTTATAATATTAATAATTTGTCATGTTCCAAAGTTTGTGGCCATTATACACAGGTAAATATTTGACAATTTATTGATTAGTTCTTATTTATGCACATTTCAATCACAAGACAACCTTCTTAGCATTTTCTTTTGAATTTATGGAAAACTCACCTTCATTTGGAAGATATTTTTACTGTGGATAGAACTCTACGTAGCAAGTATTGTTCCTTTCCTGAACTTTAGAAATGGTACTCCACGGTCATCTGACTTGCATTGTTTCCAACAAGAAGTCTTCTGTAATCCTTTTCTTTATTCCTCTGTACTAATGTATCTTTTTTCTCTGACTGCCTTTACAATTTCTCCTTTATTACAGGTCTTGAGCAATTTCGTAATAATGTACTGCACTTTTCTTCATGTGTTTTGTGCTGCAGTTACTGAGATTCTTGGAACTGTAGGGCTATAGTTGACATCAAATTTGGAAAAATGTTGGCCATTGTTTCTTGAACTATTTCTGTCACTCTCCCTCACTCCTCTCTTCCCAGAGTCCAGTTACCCATGTAGAAGGCCACTTGAAGTTTCCCCACAGTTGACTGATGATCTCTTCTCTTTTTTCTTGAAATTTTTTTCTCTGTAATTAATTTCTGATAGTCTTATTTCTATATCTTTAAATTCACTAATCTTTTCCTTGTAATGTTTAATCTGCTATAAATGACATTTCATTTATTTTTCATCTTAGACATTAAAGTTTACATCTCTAAGTTTGATTTTTGTCTTTTTTATATTATCAGTGACTATACCCAGTATGTTTAATCTTTCATCTAGCTTTCTACCCATATGAGATGCAGTTATAATTATTTTAATGTTTTCCCTGCTAATCCTAGCATCTATGTTAGTTCTGGGTTAGTTTCAATGGACTGATTTTTCTTCTTCATTATGGGTCAAATTTTCCTGCTTCTTATCATGTTAGGTAAATTTTATTATATTCCCAACTTTGTAAATTTTGCCTTGTTGGATGCTGGATAGATATTGTTGAACTGGGATACAGTTATCTGGAATTTGTTTGATCCTTTTGGTTCCTGCTTTTAAAATATGTTGGATGGAATGAAAGCAGTGTTTAGTCTAAGGCTAATTATCTTTCACCAGTGAGGCAAGATTCTTCTGCACACTCTACCCAAGGCCCCAGAAAGTATGAAGGGCTAGTGGGAACAGGCCCTTTTCCCGGTGTAAGCCTCGGTATTCTTTCCTCTGGTGTAAGCCTCACAGGCCCGGTGTAAGCCTCGGTACTCTTTCCTCTGGTTTTTATAGGTGGTTCTTTGCCAGGCCTAGAGTAGGTTCTTCACATGCATGCTCTGATCACTGCTCTGCTGAATTGATGATGAGCATGCCCTGCAGAGCACCACGGTTGTGTCACTGTAAGATTTTCACCTCTCTCGTACTACCCTCTCTGAGTTCCTGCCTCCTTGGTCACCCCATACTCTCAACTCTGTCTCTCAACTATGTGAATCCATCATGCTTCTTCTGATTTCCTCACCACCCTACCCACCACCCTCCCCCAAGCCATGGCCTGGAAACTCTCTGAAAGCAATAAGCTGGGACAATTGTACAGCTCACATCTTTTCCCCCCAACTCTCAGGGGGCATTATCCTTTGTTGCCTGATGTCCAGTATCTTGAAAAACATTATTTCCTATAATTTTTCCAATTCTTTTGGTTGTTTCAAATGGGAGATTTGGTGAGAAGTAGAAGTCACTTTTTAGCCAAGCTAATCTAGGCATGGCACTGAGCTCTTAGAAGGGTCCATTTAAGCAATAGAAAGAGCCAACTTTCTTTTCCAAACTTATTCATCTGTATAAGTTGAACTAACATATAGTGTCTTAAAGCAAGTCATTTTTATCAGAGGTGCACCGAACAAAGAAATTAGCAGCTTCCATGCTCCCCTTCTCTTTGCTCTTTGTCCAAGAACAGGATGCTGTAAGTCGGGAAACCCTTCTCAGGGTATATGTTGTTGGCAAAAAATATAGTTTGGCTACTGCTGGGAAAATTGAGAGAATGGAATCAAATGTCAGGTGTCCTGACAGCAAGCAGAATGCAATATCCTTAATGTGACATCAAGGCTGAGTCCTAGCCTTTATGTAATCCTTTGTCTCCTCTACTGTTGCAAGGAAAAAGGAACCTGTTCCCAGATACCCCTTCTCCCTTAGCATTGCTACGTCAGAAATGAGAGCTCATTCCTCATTGGCTAATTTACATATATGCTTAAATAATTAGGAATGGGTGCATTCTTCTTATTGGTTCAGCTATTCTGTATTGCTTAATGTTCTAAAGAAAAAGAGCTAAAAATTTCTTGCATTTATCATCTGCAGATATTCATATTGAAATCACAACCAATGTTTGTATTAATGTTACATCTAGTCCCTTTAATGAAAGCAATACATTTTTAACCCATATATAGTCAATATTTATTTTTATCATTCCCAAAGCCAACAAAGAATCACAGTTTAGATATATTAAGCAAATAGAATTTCATGGTATAGTCAGTTATTCATGAACCAAATTTTCAAACATGATTTCTTGAAAATATATATACCAGTAGTTGTATAATTTATTAACTTTCTAAAACATTCAAAAGGGAAGAGATCTTTTAAAGATCTAGCTTAATCTCATTTTATTAAGTGGGAACATTCTCCAAAACCACACACATGGTTAGAAGCAAAACTCATCTCTTACTTCTCGATTTACTGTGCTTTTTATTGCACTTTGCTGCCTCTCAGGCATTAAAGAACCATTAAAATATATTTTGCAGAACTGTTGATTCTGGCTACACCCAGGCCATGGGAAATAGTGACTAATACATCAGTTTATAAAGTATGTTAATACATTTCATTAATTGAATTGTAAAATAAATTTCAGAAAATTCACTTATGTTGTCAAAATCCCTATCAACTTTACGTGGATTATTTTGTTGTGCAAATGGAGTAAGTCAGTATTTTCCCTTTGTTCATTTGGGAAATGGAGAAAAATTTCATTCTATTGTTGTCACAAAGAAATAGTAATATTCTTCACTTCCTTATCTCTCTCCCCATGGCTGGTTTTCTGTAGGAATCTTCTTCCTTTTGAATAAATTTTCTATTCTTTGCAACTAGACAAAAATAAAGATTCATCATCCCTATGGAAGGCTTTTTTTTTTTTTTTTGCAATAAACTCAATATGTTCATAATCTCTATCTGTCTCTTATGACTTGCCAAAGGTAATAATATGGTTAAGACCACAAAATTTAAAATGTGATCATAAACTAGGTAGAATTTTTCTGAGAAAAAGAAATAAGGTAATTATTGTTTTCATTTATAGTCTGATTTTAATATTGTTTGTATGATATGTCCATGAATAAAATAAAAATATATTTCATAAATCATCTAGAAGAAATTATGATTTTGGCTATATATTATATTTTGATTTATGAGAATTATCAGTGAGGAAAAAATAGCACTCATGAAAGCAGCCTTAACAAAATAATGGTTTTAAGCTAAATATTAGAAATTAAGGAAAAAATAGCCAATAAATAGTTATGTACATTCATTTTTTTGTAGCATGACAAAGATTATACCTGTTCGCACAATGCATTGTTTGCATAGAGTTATTTTGCATATTTTATTTTAAAATTCCTTTCCTTATAGGTAGTGTGGGCCAATTCATATAAAGTTGGTTGTGCAATTACAGTTTGTTCTAACCCTGGGAAAGCTCCATCTGCAGTATTTGTATGTAACTATGGACCTGCGTAAGTTATTTTGCTATTAAAAATATTTTAAATTGAAATACATGTTAAGAATTGTTTCCAAAAATTGTATCTTATACTAAAGAGACAAGTTTATTTTTGTTAAGTGAAGTCTCCCTCTATAACGCTAATCAAAAGAAATAGATGAAAATAGAAGATAGTAAGAGAATATTATCTCACGTAAAAAATTACACCTGTCTTGAAGTATTTAAACTGGAGAGTGACAATGATGAAGATTGTTTGCTAATTAAAAAAAAAGGTAATATAAAATACATTGCCACGGTATTACCTAAATATTGGAACACAAAATAGGTTGGCAGGTGCTCCTCTAATATAATATAACATAACTTCAATGAGTAAATGATTGAGAATGATGGTGAAAAGCACATTCTTCTAAGAAAAGAATACATAATTTTTAATTGTCTTGCTGATAACTGCATATCAAAATGGAAATGTAACAGCCTAATGGGAGTCTCCAAAAATGAAATTCTAGAACTCTAATCCCAATAGATCTGTCCAAGGAAAAAGATAAAATCAGTTAATAATCCAACTCTTTAACAAACAAAAATTTCAAAATAAAATGTACAAAAGATGAAAACATAAGCAAAGAATAAATATACAGGATTGGCAAAAAAGAGCTGAGATATGCCAAAATTGCTACGAAGAGGTACAAATGTATATATCTCTTTCTGTATTTTCTTCCATTCCCTCTTGGCTAGAAGCAAAAACAAGAATGACAAATACATAGGCTTAAAGCTTGGGCAGAGTACAATTTTTATAAATACCATAGAAATTGCAGAACTACTGAACACTTATTTATTATCATCCAAAATAGAGAAAAATGAATCCAAAAAAGATAAAAAGAGCATCAGTTAGCTGTGAGATAACTTTAGTAGGAACTGATTTCCTGAAAGAGGGAACAGAAAAATATTTGAAGAAATATGGCCCAAAACTTTCCAAGCTTAAGGAAAATTATAAACTCACAGAACTAAAAAGCTTAACAAACCCTAATCACAAGAAACATAAAGCAAACTACACCAACTCACCTTATAATCAAAATTTTCAAAATCAGTAATAAAGAGAAAATCTTAAAAGCAGCCAGAGAACATGTTACATACAGAGGGACAAAGCTAAGGATGACAGCAGATTTCTCATTGCAAGAAATGCAAGAGAGAAGACAGCAATATCTTTAAATAGTGAAAGAAAAAGAACTGTCAACCAAGAATTCTATATCCTATGAAAATATCTTTCAAAAATAAAAGTGAAATAAAGATGTCTGCAGACCCCTGGAAGTGGTAACTACATGGGTACATATATAGGATGTTTTTCTTATTTAATTCTCTTTGGAAGATAATTGTTTAATCAAAGATAATAGCAATGTATTGTGAGGGTTATAACGTATGTAAATTAAAACCCATGATAACTATAGCATAAAGGCTGAGAGGGAAAATGGAAGTATATTACCTTAAGGTTCTTCTACTCTATGTTAAGTGGAATAATTTAACTTGACTGTGATAAGTAAAAGATGCATACTATAAATCCTAAAGTAACTACTAAAATAACCAAAGAGTAATAGCTAATAAGCCAACAAAGCAGGTAAAATTAAATTTTAAAATATATTCAATTAACCCAAAGGAAGGCAGGAAAAGAGGAAAAGGGGAACAAATGACAGATGAGACAAATAGAATAAATAAGAAGATGACAGCTTCAAACTTAACTATGTCAATATCACATCAAATGTAAATGGTACAAACACCCAAATGAAAAGGCCGACATTGCAAGACTGGATCAGAAATTGAGAACCAATTATATTCTGTCTACAAAAAGCATATTTTAAATATAAAGACTCAAAGAGATTAAAAACAAAGGAATGGAAAAAGGTTTACTATGCTAACATTAGCCAAAAGAAAGCTGCAGAGTCTATATTAATATCAGATAATGTGGATTTTAGAGCAAAGAATATTACCAGGGATAAAGAAGGCCATTTCAAAATGATAAAGGAGTTAATTAATCAAGAGTCAACTTAGATGAAGCAGAAAAATTCCTGAAACACACAAGTTACAAAGGAGACATAAAATGTAAAGAAAATTACAGAGCAATATCTCTTATGAGCACAGGTACAAAAATTCTAAACAAAATTTAGCAATTGAATCCCACAATATAGTAAAAGCATAATATGCCTTGTCCAAATGGAGTTTATTCCAGGAACATAGAGTTGGTTTAACATTCTAAAATCAATCAATGTAATTCACCATATGAATAAAATAAAAATAAAAATAAAGATCATATGATCATCACAATAGAGAAAAGGCCAAACATTCATTCTTGATAAAAGTTCCTGGCAAACTAGAAATAGAAAGGAACTTGTTAAACCTAATAAAGAGCATCTATGAAAAACCTATATGTAACATTATACAAATAGTAAAAAATTTTTCTGTAAAGTATCAGACAGTACTTTTGCTGTACTTTTTCTGTAAAGTACAGACAGTAAATATGCTAGGCTTTGCATGCCACATACTTTCTGTTACATATTCATCTTTGTTTTAAATAACTCCTTAAAAACATAAAAAAACCAATTCTTAGGTCACAGACTGCATAAAAAAGATCACAGGCCAGATTTGACCTATGAGCCATATTGTGCTGACTGCTGGTCTGTAGGTCTATATAACAAATTCAACAGAATCTATGAAAGCTCTTCTAGAACTAATAAGTGTAGCAGTTTTTCAGGATATAAAATTAATATACAAAACTCAATTACATGTCCATATGCTAGCAATGAACAATCATAAATTGAATTAAAATAACAATACCATGTGTAATAGCATCAAAAATATAAATTATCTAGGGATAAATCTGGCAGAAAACATGAAAGACCTGTACACTGAAAACTACATAATATTTATGAGAGAAATTAACAAAGACACAAATAATTAGAGAGATGCACCTTATTAATGGGTTAAAAGACTCAATACTGCTAAGATGTAATTTTTCATTGACTTGATCTATAGATTCAATATAATCCCAATAAAAATCCCAGCAGGATTTTATTGTAGAAATTGACAAACTGATCATAAAATTCATATTGAAATGCAAAGGACTTAGAATAGCCAAAACAACTGTGAAAAAAAAAACAACAACAAATTTTAAGGGCTAACATTATTGTTTTTAAGAATTATTAAAGCTAGAATAATTACAACATTGATGTAAAGTTAGACAAATAGGTCAGTGGAACAGAATACAGAGTCTAGAAATAAACCCACACATGATTGACCACATATGTTCAACTGATTTTTCACACATGCACAATGCAGTGGAAAAAAGATTTTTCAACAAATGGTGGTGGAACAACTTGTCATTCATATATAAAAAACAAAAGTAATCTTGGATGTACATAACCTTTAAAAATTAACTCAAAATAGATCATAGACCTAAATGTAAAGCCTAAAACTATAAAAGTTTTAGAAGAAAACATAGGTGAAACTTTTGTGACATTAAGATAGCCAATGATTTTTTAGCTACCACAACAAAAGCCTGATCCATAAGAGAATAAATTGATATATTGGATTTCATTAAAATTAAAAATTACTGCTATTGAAAGGCACTGATAAGAGAATGAAAAGACAAGCCACAGACCGGAGGAAAGTCTTTGCAAAACATATGATAAAGGACTCATACTGAGAGTATAGGAAGAACTCCCACAGATCAATATTAGGAAAACTTAAAACTCAACAACAACAAAAAAGGACAAAAGATTAACAAGATTTGCAGATGGAAAATAAGCACATGAAAAAATACTCAAAATAATTAACTGCTAGGGAAATACAAATTAAAATCACAATGAATACCACTACACAGCAATTAGACTGGCTAAACACCGGCCATTCCAAATCCTAAGGCTAGAATTCCTACACATTGTTGGTGGGAATATAAAGTGTTACAACTACTTTGTAAAAACAGTGTAGCAGTTTCTTAAAAAGTTAAAGATGCACCTACTATATGATCTATTTATTCCACTCCTAGGTATTTATCCAAGGAAATGTATGTCCATATAAAGACTTATATATGAATGTTCAAAATGTAAATAGTAACTTTATTTTTAATAGCCAAAAACTAGAAAACTCAAATGTCCATCAATGGATGAATGGATAAATAAATGGTGGCATATTCTTTAGTGGAATACTACTCATGTTATCAATGTTTTTCTTTGTGTACTCTAGGTAAGTAACACTTTTTTAAGTCTTCCACAGAGATGGGGAAAAAAAGAGAGGTTTGTTAGAATGTGTCAGCTTATATTATTGAAAAGTAGGCATAATAGCTGCCGCATCTTTTTGATACATCATCAAATAGAACTAGATAAGGACTATGGTATTGTACTTTTAAATTAAACCATAAAGCGTATGTTTCCACGTGCAGTTTAAATTTTGCTTATTCCATTTACAAAAGCAAGAGGTAATCATAGTGTTTACAACAAAAACTTTGTGGCTGTCACATGCATAATTATATTGGGTTCACATCTAATTTGTGTTCTATAGAATAGTCAAGAATATAATTGCCATATGGATTAGGGATATGCTGTAAAGAACAGTTTTAATAGTTTCTTTTTATAAAAGAAATGAGCATAAAATTGGGATAAAAGTTATTTTTCCATTTCAACATTCATGACTTAGTGAGTGACCAAAACAACTTGCATAAATGCATGCACAAAATTAGAGAAATTAATAGCCTTTTGGCTAATCACTGTTGCTCTTTTTCACAGAGGAAATTATCGAAATGTGGCCCCTTACTCTAAAGGAGCATCCTGCTCTAAGTGTGCAGAAGGAGATACTTGCGGAAACAAGCTCTGCCGTAAGCCAAAGGAAAAAAATAATCGTAACATTCTATTGGGAGAGCAGACTCCTTATATTTTAAAATTTGGCTCCTCAAGCTTATAGAGAATTTATGGACAAGACTTTATTGCTGCTATATGATATAAATTATTTGTCATAAAGTATCTAAACTCAGATGGCCCCTCCCTTCTTCACTGATTCTTTTCCCTCTCAGGCTTAAGGGCAGAAAGGAGGGAGGCAGAAGTGACCCAGTTTGCTGCTGCACTCAATAACAGTGATTGAAGTGTTTCTAATGTGTATTTTCTTCCGTTCACCTCCTTTATTACTTATTATTGAAATAGTGACTTATTCAGAAGCAATACATTAATCAATGTCCACATTAATTGTGGTTTATAACTAATATGTTTCTCTTCCATCACCAGCCTTTTGGTTCTGAGAACAAAGACACTTTTTAATAATAAGTGTGTAAGTTCTTGATTGAGGACAGAGTGAAATGGGTGAAGAGGGACGATTTGAAAATTGTTACAAAGACGTGGTGCCATGAAAGCAGACCAACCCGGAAAGAATGCATGTTAAGTGATTCCCTTTATATAAAGTTCAAGATCAGGCAAAACTACTCTACATTTGGAGAGGAAAGAGGAGGTAGTAATTAGAAGAGGATTCCAGAAGGACTTTCTGGACCTATGCTGTGGTTACCTGGGCATGCTCACTTTGTAATAACTCATCAGTCTTTCCATTTAGGAGGTATGCATGTTTCTATATTCATATTATATTTCAATTAAAGAATGAATTGGAAGTATGGTCCCTCTGTGTTCAGATTTCTTTCAAAGCATTTAAAAAAATAAATTTATTGTGTTCTCGTATTTGCAAACTAATGTTTTCCAGTCAAGGGATATAAAGATAACAATGATACACTTTTTCACCTCCCCTTCCTGCCCCGTATCTAAGCCACTGTCATTTTCCACCTAAACCACTACAGTCTCCCACTTATCTTCCTACTCCAAACTGTTTTACATAAGGAAAATCAGATCAAATCACTTCTTTTCTTAAAATTCCTCAACTGCTTCCTACTGCAGTTAAAGAAACATCTGACTCCAGACCATGCAGCCCACAAGCCCAGCGTGATCTGGCTCTGGCCTCTCTCTCCTGCCATAGTTTTTGTTATCCTCTCTTTGACGTAGTAAGCCCCATCATCTCTACCCACAAACATTCCAACCTCTTTCTAAAAACCCCAGCATCTGGATCACCTGTGGGTCTGTTTTTAGTTTCAAGACTGTTTTGTTTTCTCTTGGTTTTGGTAATATGCTCCATTTCTTGGTGTGGTGAATTGTCTTTAAAGATGGCCACCAACGATTCCTCCCCTCCTTTACACCCATGCCATGCCTCCCATCAGGAAGGGAGACTGTCTCTCCTCCCCTTGAATAAGGACCTGATATTGTGCCCATTCTGGGCCTGGCCTTTAAGAGACCTGGCAGCTTCGGCTTTTGCTCTTTTGGAAGCCCCCCAGCGTTATCAAGAAATCCATGCTCCCCCGCTGGAGAGTCACACTGAGAAAGGCCCTGAAGAGGAGAGGTCATCTTTCTGTCTCAACCCCAGCTGAGCTCCAGCTACATACAACCATGTCATTGAACCCTGATGACACTACATATAGCAGAGGAATTGCCTAGTAGAGCCAGCCAACCCAGATAATTGTGAGAAATAATAATTTTTATCCTTTTAAGCCATTATGTTTTGGAAGTTTGTTTCATAGCAATAGATTTTGGAAACAGCCTAATAAGTTTTTATTAAACACCTAACAACATGCGTAAAACAAAAATGTAGAGAGTTCTGCCTTTTCCTCTGCTGAACAGATGGAGTTAGGCTTTTTCACCTTAATCCACACACAACTTAGTCGAGGCTAGTTAGAATCTAAGGCTCAGTCTACCTGTTTGCCCCTGTTCCAAGGGTGTAGATGTCTGGGGCTTTCCACTGAGAGACTGGTGTGTTCATTGTTGCCTTTCTCTGGTAGGTTCTGAACCCCAGTCCTTATTGCTTTACCAAGCTGAAACTACTGAAAAATCTGCTTTGATTTCCAGAGGTTTTTAGCCTCCTGTCCCTAATAGTTTCAAAATTAAACAAATAGCGTGAGTACAAAATGGATATCTCTTGGGCCCATTTCTTCCACCTCTACCTCTCACCTGGATCTTGAACTACTCAATTCTCTAATTTTATCTCTCTAGCCCTGCAAGGCCAGCAAAAACTGCTGATTTCTCTGTTTCCCAGAAATTGACCTCTACCTAGGCAAAGCCCAGATTTTCAGACCTAGACCTGGGCCCGGAATCAACGAAAGGCCCCAGGGAAAGAACAGCTTTCCTAACATCAGCCCACCTCACTATGGATCTCCTGCTCTGAAATCTTGATCCTCCAGTCTTTGTTGCTTCAGCAAATCGCTGATGCTCTTAAACATTATTTTGTTGTATGTTATATGGATTTTCTAGTTGTGTTTGATGAGAGCTTCTATCTGTCACAAACCACTCCATCATGGAGATTGAAGCAGCTATTGACAATGGGTCTCCAAGACAGCACCACACAAGCTGCAAAGGCTACAATAAGCTTTGATACCTGGTAGGAGGTGTTTCCACAACTTGTTCCTTTTCCAAATTATTCAGAAATTATTTGGCTATTCTTGGCCCTTTGCTTTTGCATATTAATGTTAAGATAAGCTTATCAATTCCACAGACGACCTTGAAATTTTGGTTTGAATTACATTGAATTTATAGATAAATTTGGGAAGAATTAGCATCTTTACAGCATTGACTATTTCCATTAATAAAGATGGTTTATTTGGGTTTTTTAAATGTCTTCAGTTAAATTTTGAAATGTTCTCAGTAAAGGTCTTACATGTCACATTAGATTCTTTGGTAACATGTATTTGTTGCTATTATAAATAGTATTTTAAAATTATGTTTCCTTATTAATTTCTCCTGATTTATAGAAATATACATTTTTTATATTAGTCTACTATCCAGGAATCTTACTGAATTCTCTTATTATTTCTAATAATTTGTTGATTCTCTTGGATTTTCTATAATGACAAACGTTATCTGTAAAAAATGCAAGTTTTGTTCTTTCTTCTAATCTTTGTCAGTTATTTATTTTACTAATATTAATAGTCAGTGAATCCTCTAGTGTGATGTTGAACATAAGCTATAATAGTAGATACCATTCTCTTGTTCTTGACCTTAAAAATAATGTTTCACCATTATGCATATTTGCTTTAGATTGGTTTTTATGAGTCCTCATTGCCAGGTTATGGAAATTTTCTCTTGTCCTTGTTTTGCTTATGAGCTTTTAATCTTGAATGAATGTTTAATTTTAGCAGATGTTTTTTCTGCCTCTCTTAAAATGATCCCAAATTTTTTTCCTTTAATTTTTATTTATTTATTTTTTTTGTGAGGAAGATCAGCCCTGAGCTAACATCCATGTTAATCCTCCTCTTTTTGCTGAGGAAGACCGGCTCTGAGCTAACATCTATTGCCAATCCTCCTCCTTTTTTTCCCCCCAAAGCCCCAGTAGATAGTTGTATGTCATAGTTGCACATCCTTCTAGTTGCTGTATGTGGGACGTGGCCTCAGCATGGCTGGAGAAGCAGTGCCTCGGTGCATGTCCAGGATCCAAACCCGGGCCGCCAGTAGCAGAGTGCGCACACTTAACCACCAAGCCACAGGGCCGGCCCTCCTTTAATGTTTTAATGTTGTAAACTACATCAAAGGATTTCTTTTTTTCTTTTTCTTTTTGGAAACCATTTTAAAAGTATTAGTTTGTAACTATAATTTTTAAAAATTTACTTGTGTTTAAATTCCTCTTTGAGTAAATACAAATTTTTTTTCAATATTGGTCCATTTCACTAACATTTTCAAATTATTGTAATAAAAATAATATTGTATACAAATAATAAAATAAATAATATTGTAAAGAGGTAGGTACATGGTGGTTTTTAATTTTTAAAATCTATCTTTTGTTACACTATTTCCTAATTCCATTTTGTTTATTTATTATTTTCCTTGTTGTTATTTTTTAAATCACTGTAATGAGGTATAATTGACTATCAAAAGCTGTACATATATTTAATGTATACAACTTAACCAGTGAGATCTATACTTTCATATAGGTACCAAGAGTTAAGTGATGACCCGGAAATACAATTTTAAACTGTTCTTTCATCCTCATGATAAATCCAATTTGGCATGAGGTTTCTTTTGTAGATGGCTAGATTCTTGTTAATGTTCTACTTAAAATTTTTGCATTTAATTTTAGAATTATGATTGGTCCGTAATTTTCCTTCTTCATTTCTTCTCATATGATTTTGACTTCAAGGTTGAAGTAGTCTCATAAAAGAAGTTGAAAATTGGGAACATTACTTCTTTTAATATTTTGATTACAATTTATGTAAGATTCTAATTATTTATTTTTTGAATGTGTGGGAGAAGTTTTCTGTAAAATGACTTTGTTCTGCTGTGTGGGTGTGTGTGTTTGTAGATTTTTAATTACTGATTTAATTTCTTTAAGTGTTATGTGATATTCAGCTTCTGGGTGAAAATTAGCAAATTTCTGTTTTATCCAAGTTTTAATGAAATTCTCTTGTATTTTTATCTCTGTTCTGTTCTGTTCCATTTATTTAAGTCCTATGACTTTTGATTTGTCCTTTTTCTCTTTTTTGTTCACCATTTTCTATAGAAGCCAACTTTTAGCTTTGTTGACTTCTTTTTTAAGGAGCTGTAGCATAATGGTAGTTAAAGGTTTAGGCCTTGGAGTCAGATGGCTTAACTCAGGAGGTGAGTAAGAGGATTTGTATGACAAATCAGACAAATGATTTGAGCCCCAAATAAAGTAAGTGCTCAATAAATTTTAGCTACTATTATAGTTAAGGTCCTCATTATTTTATATCATTTGACTCAGTTTATTTTTTCATAGCACGAATCACTCTCTGAAATGATCATTTTTATTTATTTATTCAATTTTAAAATTGATGATAGATTTTTCTCCCTTTACTTTTCATTAAGGAAAAGAACTTTATTTTTTCCTGATAGCCATTATATTCAAAGCCTAGAACCACGCCCAATACATAGTAGCCCCTCAAAAATGAATACATGAATAAAAAAATGAAATAAATTCCTAACAAATTGCAGGATCCTGTTAAAATGGCAAGTATGGGAGAAAAATTCAATAGGAGAAAAGTTTGATAGGAGAAAGATGTAGAGCAAAGTGTGGAGCAAGGGCCACTACAGAAGTGAAGGGGACATTCAACAGAGGACTCTGGGTGCCCAAAAGGCAGCATGAAGGAATGATGTTCCTTTTAAAAAACTTTAAATGGGCATAGCAGAGTGCAAAAATAGAGTTAATTACTGTATATAATTTTGCCTATTGTAGGCTTTTGTGCCTTCTATATGAGAGGCATTCTAGAAATATTTGTTGACATGACATTTTTGGCAGTGGCCATCAGAGATTTTTAAGTACTGTGGGATTTGGAGAGGAAGCTTGCATTTTCTTAAATTAAAAAGCCAAACTAAGTTTCCTAAGTTGATTATCTTATTCAAAATGCCAGGAAAGCAAGTAAATGCTTTTAATTCTATAATATTATTTTTTTTCTATTCTAGATAATAAAGAACGTGATAAACTTAAAAGTATGTATCAAAATATTTCAGTATTGATTCAATTACTTCCTCCCCTTGAAACTACATGGAGCTCTTAACTGTTGTGTTTTCCTGACAGAATATCCCAATTGGAAGCCACATGGGAAAGCACCTAAGTGGATAGCATATAAACCATTGTACCTAGTTCCTGTTCTTCTGAGAATGTTTTAATTGTTATTTACATACAAGAGAAATTCAAAAGACGTGACAATAAAGGAACTAATGGCTGGATGTAACTCACATACGTTTAATTATTAAGACTTCTAAACTCTTGTCTATTGTCTAAATTTAACGTCTTTTTTTAATTGAGGTAAGATTGCTTTATAACAATATGTAAATTTCAAGTGTACATCATTATATTTCAACTTCTGTATAGATTACATCGTGTTCACCACCAAAATTCTAGTTGCCATCTGTCACCGCATGAATGTGCCCCTTTACCCCCTTTGCCCTCTCCCCATCCCTGTTTCCCTCTGGTAACCACAAATCTGTTCTCTGTATCTACGTGTTTGTTTGTTTGCTTATCTTCCACACACACGTGAAATCATATGGTATTTGACTTTCTCCATCTGACTTATTTCACTTAGCATAATACCGTCAAGGTCCATCCATGTTGTTGCAAGTGACAAGATTTCATCTTCTTTACGGCTAAGTAGTATTCCATTGTGTGTATACATACATACATACATACATACATATATATATATATATATATATATATATATATATA